CTGGCAGAAAGTGCAGATGCTTCTGACATCTAAATAAGCAAAGCTGTACGACCCCAACTCAATTAGATATTTAAAAATGAGTGTTTTTAAAGTTCAACTTACAAACACGCCTATCTCCATAAATGTGCTCAAGGCTTTTGCTGAATCCACATGGTCTCCTTCAAGGCTGTACAGGAAGTCAACAGGAGAGACTGTTAGCAGTTTACTTCCGTGGCTGCAGTGCCAAAGAGACTGCAAGCATAGAGAATGCAGGGGAAACTTTAGCTCTGTTCTTTACTCAAGCACGAATCTTGGAACAAATATGGAGAGATGGATCTAAGTTAATATTGTAATATCTTGGAATTGAGTTTATAATTGTATGAAATACCAGCATAAAATAACATCAGTTAGGTGTAGTTATGTGAACACATCATCAAAAGGTAAAAACACCCATTAAAGCCTCCTGACTTTAAAAATCACACCTCCCTTTTCCCTTAGTAGGCTGCAACGTGAGATGGCAGCTCCTGTGCCGATCATCAGTGACATCTATTGTGTGATTCTCTACTTCAAAACCAGAAACAAAGGGTGTGGTTTTAGCTTCCCCGGCTTTTTTTTTTTTCCTTCTTGTTGCTATACCTGGAATCATACGCTGCAAACATACACGGTTTTTTGTTTTTTTTTTTCCTTAAAGAAACACTTGGTGTTTGGTGCTTTAAATACGTTTTAAATATATATATTTTTTAAATACCGTTTTCACCGCATTTCAGCGAAATTGTTTTTTTTTTCCGAAACGCGGTAACAAAAAGGAGCGGGGACACCCCCTAGCTGCTTGCCAGGATGCCGGGAGTTGGCCGGGGCCAGGCGGGAGCCCACGTCTGCCTGACAGCGGCCTCACAGAAGGGCGGGAGAGGCCGCGCCGCGCCAGGCTCACACCGCCCTCACGGCAGGCTGGGCAGGGCCACACGGCGGTCCCTCCGCGGGGCTGCAGCGGACACAACACTCACCTGGCGGGGCCGCCCCCGGGCTGCCGGCACAGCAGGGCACAGCACAAGGCTCCCGGAGAAGCGGGCTCCCTGAGGCCACAAGCGGTTCCCCGGAGACGCGGCCTCACCGGCGGTCTCCACGGCAACCTCCCTCAGGGCCCCGGAGCCCGTCGTCAATAAGGCGGCTTTTCATTGGCTGGACGGGTTTTCCTCAGACAACCAATGGGAGAGCGGGGCGGGGCGGGGCCGAGGTGCCTCAGGGCGGGAAAGCGCTGCTGCGTCGTGAGGTGCGCTACCTGCAGGGCACAGCCAGAGCCAGCGCAGGGGCTGGGAGATTAGTCCAACATGTATAGCGGGCTGTTGGTATTCCAGGCAGATCCTAGTCCTATAAACAATAATTCTCCTACTCTTGAACGCATGAACTTTGTGAGGGAAAATGGTTGCTCAGAGCTAAGAACAGGGCTGTCTATCATCGGCATAGGCTGCTGCACCACAGCATTGTGCCTGCAGAGTAATTCCCAAAGGGATCGTGGCTTTGTAATAATTTTCTGACAGCAGTGCCCTTTAGTTTGCTCGGGGTTTCACCAGTCCTCAGCCTTGTGTAAATACACAGAGGGGTGGTTCTCACTTCAAAGCTAGGCAGTGGTTACACAGGCCTCATATTCAGGTCATTACCTTTGCGTATGTAAACACACTGACACAGTGCCCTGAAACAAACCAGTAGGGAGCAGACCCCATCCCAGGGAAGCAGAACCATCTGCATATAGAATACAGGCAAAGAGGACTGTATAGTAACTTTTGGGGGGGTAGGTTAAGGGTAGCTTTTCTGTTTGACTCCAACTACCAAACATAAGCAACAAAAACGTGAGAAAATGTTATAAGCCCTAAAATAATGCACTAACCTAATCTGAAATTAGTTCAACAACAGCTAACACTGAGAGGGGAAAAGAAAAAAAACAAAAAAAAAACTGGGGCACAGGTCAGAAGCAGGGTTCTGTAGTGGAAACAAATACTGCTGCCCCTTCATGGCACAGAGGTACCTTAAGGAAAGCAGCAGTTTGCACAGCAGGATTAAAGCTACATTGCTTTCTGTATGTCAGAGATTCCACTTGAGTAGGTCAAGCGCCTTTGTATCTCCCTAGCAAAACCAGGGCTGTCTGCCTTCTGCCCTACAACAAAATACATTGCCGTTACATGTATATCTTATGCTCAGTTCACCTGTTTATTTCCTAGTTTCAAAAACACTCAGTCGGAGAGCTGAGAGAAGGTAGAGATCCATGCAGGCAGCAGCTCTGTCTCTAAGCACTAAGAAAAAAGTCAGCAAACTGACACTCATCAGAAAAGGTTTTGATACATTTTATTAATCAGACAGTGTGGCTCCCCCCGAGGGGGGATTTTGCAAACACAGAAGATACTTATGCAGCATAAGGAATAACCAAATTCAAGTGATAATTAGAAGGGGTATTTTCAACCAGCTTGAGAACTCAAGACATAAACAAACAAAAATCTAATCAGGATTATGAAGGAATGGAAACTCTTCAGCCTTGTGTTTCATGGATCTCTATCTCTCAAGGGCGTGCAATTAGGTCCTCTTTGCTTCTGTGTCTGGCACCTGACAAAGTCCCAAAGTGGAGGGGAAGCCAGTAGATGTTCTCATTTTTAGTGGAAGGCTGAGATAACATTCCTGTGCTTTTGTTTTAAGCAAATACCATGTACATTCCAGTTATAAAGTGACGGAGCATATCGGTCCTAAAATCCAAAACACTTCAGAGTGAAGTGCAACAGCAACAGAAGTTTTAAGGTTCTGAGTGCAATAGGCAGAATGCTGCCTGTGTGCTAAGTCACTTGTGGACAACTACAGCAGCCCCTCTGCATACAGCAGGCAGCTGAAAAATCAGCCACAGGGCAGTGAGATGTCTGTCCCTTTCCAAAACTCCCTGAGTGGGAGTGAGGAAATGAACTATTTTGAACACTGAGGTAAACAGCAGGGATTCAAGATAGCAGAGGCAGAACTTTCACAACAGTTTCCTGTGGCATAGTGCAGCTCTTCACTAGCAGCTCCATCCTCTACACACAGCCACTGACACACAAACATCCAGCCACGAAGATTCTGTGGGCAAACAAAGCTTTGTGGGAGCAGCCACCTGCAGTTGGCAATGGTAGACCACAGAGCACAAAAATCAGACACGAGTCTTAAGAAAAACAATGAAAGTAATGCATAAGCTTGTCTCCAACTATCACCTCTTTCCAGAAAGGGTTCTGGGGAGCCTGAAAACAGAATAATTTGAAGGAATACTTCCAGTTCTCCTCAGCCAGCCTAGAAGCCACTTCTTGCCACAGAGAAACAGAAATCTTTTTGCACTACAAAACATAAGGTAAGCTGGATAAACTGGAGAACCTCTGCAGTTCTCAGTAAAGCCAAATAAATTCTGGACTTCTGCAAGAGAGCTTTGTCTCAGCCTGTAAAGTATGGCCATCTCCAGATTGCTAACGGCTTTGGCACCTGCAGAGCCTTTGTGCTACAAGGCAGGCTTAAGACTTTAAGGACTTTAAACTACTTTGCTGATAACGGTACAGCTGAATGCCCCACTCTTTATATGCACAGTGTCCAAAAGCAGAAGAGAATCACATAGGTGAAGGTGCAGAATTATTAGAGCTGATCTAAGAGGAAACAAGGTAGATGGAGCAGGCCATCTCTGGGTTGTCTTCATCGCTGCTTTGTTCCAGAGGGCCACTTGATGGCTCACAGGAAAGTCATGACTGTTCCGTTCTTGCCGATCTGCCAGGGCTCCAGCGGGAAAAAGCGAATGACAATCCTTATTGGGTACAAGAGCAAAAACGTGGTGGACAGAAAAACATTACTTTAGAATTAATTATAATCCCTTCCCTGTTTGCAACCAACTAGAAAGTCTTAGAGCTCTGGCTGGTGTTAAGTGAACTGAAGCAGCGACAAGCTGCACATGGGCAGGGTACAAACAGGTGGCAGAGCTTATCTGCACAAACCCCAAAGCAGAACGAAATACAGCACTGCTCGTGAGAGTGATTCCAGCAGTACCCGGGTACCTCATCACCCAGCTGGCTACTTATCCTGACAGCAGCCCGGGGCAGGGCACGTCCCTCTAGCAGAGACAGGGACGGGGGACAGAAGGGACACGGCTTACCTTCAGGAAGGCCCATTTGCACCGGGTTCCCAACCGGAATCACTGATAACAGCGGTCCCCACGCCGCTCGCTGAGCGGCCCAGCCGTGTTTTAAGCCGGACTTAAACCAGAGCCGCCCCGGACTCGGCTCCCCGCGCACTTCACGTCGGCAGCCAAGCTTTGATACCCACACCGCCCCCCAGCGGCCGCCGCAGCCGAACCGGACCGCACTCACCGCTCGGGGCCGAGGCCCAGCTCCGCCGTCAGGAAGTCGAAGAAGCGGGCGCTGTGCCCCTGGTTCTGCTGCGCCGAGCCCACCACGCCGATGGAGGAGACGAGCAGCTGCGCGCAGGGCTCGGCCGAGCCCGCCAGCACCATGGGCATCCCGCTGCGCACCGTCACGTTCACCCGCTGCCGGCACACGCGCGGTCACGTCGCGGCTTCCCCGGAGCCCCCCGCCCCGCCGCCCCCGGCCCCGCGCTCACCTCGGCGGGTTTGCCCAGGATGGTGGCTGTGGCTTCGCACAGCTTCATGGGCAGCCCCGACGGCAGCCGCTCGGCCGGCAGGCTGGTCTCCAGCTCCACGAACGGCATGGCCGCCTCCTGCCCGCCGCAGTGCCCCGCTGCCCGGCGCCTCCTCCGGCTCCGCCCGGCCCCGCTCCGGCCCTCCTCTCCTCCTGCCCCTCGGTGCGAGCTGTGGCCGGGCGCAGGGCATTTCTATTCCATCCCCGGCGCATCAGCTGCACCTGGGGATTTGAGGGCAGGAAGAGTTTACCACGGGAAGGGAGGTGATGTTCTAGAACAGCTGCTCCTCTGCCAGAAATTAAAAGGCAAGCAGGGAGGCTTATTGTTTTGTCCCACGTGGATTTCTTTACTGTGAGAGTGGTGAGGTGCTGGAACAGCTGCCTAGAGAGGTTGTGGATGCCCCATCTCTAGAGGTGTTCGAGGCTAGATACAATGGGGCTCTGAGCAGCCTGGTCTGGTATTAAATGGGGAGGTTGGTGGCCCTGCATGTGGTAGGGGGGTTGGAGATTCATGATCCTTGAGGTCCCTTCCAACCCCTGCCATGTAATGATTCCTCCCCCAGCTTCTGCAGTTCCGTTTGGGTGCCAAAGCTGGCAGGAGTGCAGCCAGGCACTGGCTCACAGCTGCAGTCTCCTGTGTGGATCAGGTTTCTCGGAAGCTGAGCTCCTGTGTGGGGAGCACTACTTGTGCAGATTTACAGCGAAAAGCATTAGAAACTAGCTAGATGAATAAGTCATCTTGCTTAAGGTAAAGCACTGTTGTGAAGACTGACCCTGTATAACATGATTTTCTTGTTTTCCACAGTTACCAATAGACTTGCTGCTGGCTTTGCTGGGGGAATTGTTTGGCCTTCACTGTTGCCAGGGTGGACAATACTGGCAGGAGGAGCAGCACATGTAAGCCGGCCAGCAGTCAGGCTGCAGATTTCTAGGAGAGTGATTGTGAAGTGAGACAGATCTGGCAGGGGACGGCTGTTTGCTGTGCGGTGCAGAAGCACTGCCTATGTGGTGGTTTTTTGCACAGTATTTACTTTTCTATAATAACTGTGTTTTCTGCAAGGGATGGGGAAACCTTATTGCTGCATGGCAGGGATACAGCAGGGAAGATTTTAGGACTTGCCCACTGAGGAGCCCAGGAGACTGTACTGAGCTCTCTCCATCAGTGAAGGATGAGAATGGAGTTTGTTTCTGAAAAACAAAGGCACTGAGGGGACTCAGCCACCCTGCAAACCCCAGCCACAAGTCCACTGCCTGACTGCAGAGAACCACTGATCCTACATAAGGTGCCCTTTGAGATCCGTTTTTCAATTTCTCATTCCTTTTTAACATATTAAACATCTCTTCCAATAAATTCCAAGGCCAAAATAAACCTCCCCCACCTAAAAATACATGACAAGAAACGAACATGTCAGAAGGCCTTCCAAAAGAAAAGGAGCAAAAAGATTTGAAAAGTCAACAATTACAACAGCATGAGGGTCTGTCACAAACATTTTAATGATATGTTTTGTCCTTTGCTCCTGAGGGTTGACCACAAATGGCAAACTGTTCATGGCTTCAGGGCACAACCCAGAATCCCAGAGTTTTTATTACACTAAAGGCATTTGTTCTATTGTTTCTGTCCTGGAGCTGGCAACTCAAATGGTTGCAGGGGGATGAGCTGAGAGATGACAGCACAGCAGCAAGCAGTCTCCATTTTGCTGAGCTTTTGGAAAATCCTGGTATTTTTTCCCATTTGTAGGCATCTGTGTGTGTCATCAGCCACTTAGCAGTTCCACTCTCAAAGTTCTCAAATGGTCAACCACTTCCCATTTAAAATTCATCTCAAGTGTAGACAATATTCCTGAATAAAACTTCAGCAAAAAATGTTTGGGGTTAAGAGAAGAAATGAAAGGTGGGAATAAACATGTACCTATTTCTAGTATTTTCAGTTCATAAAAAGAAAGAGCCTTCAGTCAGCTCTCTTATCCTTACAGTGGACATAAAAAATGAATTTTTCTGTTACTGAAAGCTCAAGTATATAATGAGATTTTCTTTCCAGTTGAGGAATTTAAAGATCTCCCCAGGCTCTGGACTAAATCCATATATCTAGCAGTAAAACTTTAGAAAAAAAACCACCCAAACATATCAAGTTGTATAGTACTTAACAGCAGAAATGTGAGTAGCCAAGACATGTTAGTACTGTGAAGAGAAAAAGCTATTCAGTTACTGAGAGATGTAATTCCCAAATTATTTACTAGGCAAGGATTTCAGGGTGAGGTTCAAGGGCAACAGCTAGATGTGAATGGAAGTATGCAAACATACATATTCCAACAGTTTTTGCATCCTTTGCTGTTTTCAACTGAAAAAAAAAACTAGAAATGCTTATTTTGCTTCATTATTATTATTTTGTGCTGCAGTACAAAATGGTTTCCCACTTGAGCTACAACTAATCAGAAACAGCACAACCAAAAAAGAGAGCCTTGAAGCTCCAAAACAACTCTCTGCCTTTTTGTGATGCATATGTTGCTCAGTGTCACAAAGTCTCCCTTATTACTTCAGCTTGCACAGGGTGACTTGGTGAACTTCCATCCAAAACAATCTCCAAAGAGCGTGTCTAGATTTATCCCTCCTTTCCATTTTTTAGGAGGAATGTGGATTGCTACTGCACTGTTACCACAGAAAAAAATGATTTGATTGCAGTCATATTCTCTTTAAAGAAGTCACTGTGAATGCATTTGTTCAGTGTATTCCATATATGATATCAACAGAGGATTCAAGTAGGCATTATTTGAAGGTCTGTGGCCACCTTCAGCTGTTTGAAGTTGCTCAGTCTTTACTACACAGATCTCCCTGCCACACATGTACTGACAGACCACGTGCCTAAGAAACCCAACTTTGAAAAGTGGAGGGCAGTGGTTAAATTAAAGCATTCCAATAATTTGTTGTAGATGAACGTGAAGAAACTTCTCACAGGATCTTAAAGGCAAATAGAAGTATGGAATGTAGATGGGTGGCCAAGCAATATGCTCCAGCAACGAGAAAATTAAATTAAAAAAATAAAATAAAAAGTCTTCTTTTTAGTTTAGTGACTACCTGTAGCTTTGTTCCATACTCACTTATGCAGAGACACACACTGGGAAGGTGAGGATCAGGTTTGCTTTGCTGTGTTTCCCACTTAGGAAGGAGCTCCGAATGTTACAAACACAAGAAAACAATGACCCTCATCCTAGACAGTTCTCTGATGTTCCAGTTTGCAGGCTGGCTCAAATTTTTCAGGAAATACTATTCATGTTTCCAACATTTCTGAGTGACACTAAAATATAACCCAGATGCGTGTGTTAAGTGACCCATAGGGTCTCTCCCTTTCATACAAATTTAATGTTTCAGGTCTTAAAAATTCCCCAGCTCCCACCTCCCAAAGATGCAGGGAAGGCTTAGTGAAGTTGGGGAGGACAACTTGCAAGACTACATTAGAAATACAGTGGGTTTTTTTCCAGTTTAGCGTAGAGCTGGAGATCACAGAAGTAAAAAAAAAAACAGAAAAGAAAAAAAAAAAGGCAGGAAAAATAGTAACATAGGTTAATTCATTTCAACATCTTCATCAACACAGGTGCCAGATGCTCTTTCAGCTGTGGATCAATCTGAATGTTGCTCAGTTCTTTGACATTCAGGATCATCTCATGGGCTTGGAAGAAAAGCTCCTTCCCCACAGCTTCCTCCACCCGCTTGCGCCACTCCATCAGCCTGGGCCTGTCTTCAAAGATGTCACAACCAACTCCAACAGGCTGCAGAAAGCCAGAGAGAGCAACAGATAGTGAGACACTGCACAACCCACTCTTTGCCAAGACAACAGGCATCAAAAATGTAACTGCAGGTATGGGGTAGGAGAAAGAGAGGGGAGGAGCTATTCTATATATTATCTCTACCTCTAGAGATCAAAAATAAAGTCAGGATGAAACAGGAGGACATTCTGTTAGGGAACAAAAATGAAGGAGACCTGTTGCAGCCAGTTTCTCCTTTAAAAAAAACAACTGATTTTCTGAACACACTGCTGCTTTCTACTCATTGTCTTAGTCGTGCTGAGATATGCCCTTACTCCTAACGAAGTGTTACCATATGCTGCATCCCTCCCTGCCCAGCAGCATGTTTTCCCTTCACTACCATAGTCCAGCACTCACTTGCATCAGCTCCACAATGGCCACAAGATCTGCCAAAGAAATCTCGCTCCCAATGATAAAAGCCTTGTCCTGCAGAAACCTCTCCTCAAATTGCTTCAGGGAAGCAGACAGCCCCTCCATCACCTCCTGCAGCTTCTCTGATGGCAGTGGTTGCCCTGTGAAGAGGGGAATCAGCACCTGAGGAGAGAATGGGCATAGAGCATGGTCAGCTGCCTTCTCATGGATCTAATGGTAATCATTAAGTTGTACCTCATGAGATACACATGACTGCCATTGGTGGTCACCTGCAGTCCCTTCAGGTGATGGCAGCAGGTCATGGTGGTGGCTGTGGTAGGGAGTGTATCTAGCAGAGGAGCAGCTGCCAGGAGGGCAGAGTGGGTACGTGCCCTTTTTATATCACTCTTTTTAAGGTGTCCCAAGAATCATTCCTTATACTATTAGAAATGTTTCCAGCCAGAACAATCATAAATAACAGTCTTTGTCTCCAAAGACTTGCTTGCACAGGGGGTAGTAGCCTTTCAGTGAGATTTGTCACCATTCACAGAGGTGTATATAACATCAGAGCCACCAGTATTTCACAACTATACCACCTCTATCTATGATAGCTAAAGAAATAGTTTATTTTCAGAAAAAAAAAAAATATATATATATATATAAATTTCCACAGGGGTAGTAGATAGACTTTCTACTTACTGCTAGTATATTCAACAAATTCATGTTGTGATTGCCTAATCCAAGCCACTTTTTTTTTTTTGCCAAGTACATTTAGAGTCTATTTCATCAGAAAATTCATGGCCAGTTCTCCTCCTAAATGTTTCCAATTACAAATGATGGGATCTCCAGGTATAGCCATTATGAAATGGTATCTCCTTTTCTGTATCTCAGGGCAGTTTATCTTCTCACAAAACCAGCAATTTTGCCTTCTATTACACAGTGGCTTTATAAGTTTCAATTATTCTGATGACCTTTCTGTATCTGAGTTATCTAACCAGCAGCAATGAGATGGATTTCTTTCTCTTGGTGCACTGCAATAACAGCCTGCAGAGACTTGAATAAACTGATGTTTGTAGGAATCTGACTCATATTTGTGCTGCTCCTCTGGACTTTCTTGCCAAAAAATCAAATGTTAATAAATCAAAATTCTAAATTAGTCCTGAGATGTTTTGTTAGGCATAAACATGGGTGGACTTCACAGAGGAAGAGTGATGTTCTTATCTTCTTACTGGCAACCCTTATTTCCTTTAAAATCCTCTGTTACAATCATGCTTGCAGATCTGTATTTGCACCTGGGCTTCTCTAAGGATAGCTGCATTAGGTTTCTGATGAGTTGGCTGGAATCAGTTGTCCAGCACAGAATCATAGAAACATAGAATCACAAGGTTGGAAAAGACCTATAAGATCATCTAGTCTAACTGTCTTCACACTACCACTGCTACCACAAGCACTAAACCAGATCTCACAGCTCCTCATCCAGACACCTCTTGAACACTGCCAGGGACGGCGACTCCACCACCTCCCTGGGCAGCCATTGCAGTGACCACTCTTGGAGAGAAAAATCAGAAAAAAAAAAGCAGAATTATCTGATATTAAATGATTTCCTGCTTCAGAGTGATTCCATTACTTTTACCCAAACGTAAATTGATTTGACTACACTGAATAAAGAAATACTGCCATTCTCCATGTATCTCTATTCTACCTATCCCTGAGCTCATTTCAGAGGAGTATGTAAGCATTCTGGAAGCAAAAGTCTCCTTCTGGATTTCCACCCTGATGGGACTACAGAGACCTGATGTATGAACAACACAAGCCTTTCAGTTTCCAGCAACAAAGCACACACTTGCCAAAGAAGCAAAAGGTCTGTGTGCATACTCTGCACAGCTGTGCAGGGAGGGGGAACCCTTGGAGGCAATACTCAATCTGTTATACATTTGTTCACAAATCCAGGCAATAGAAGTCCGTGAGGCTTTGAGACCTTCTGTATCAGAACTACTTTAAGGAAACAAACAGGCAGACAAAAAAACAAGAAAACAAACAAAGAAAAACCACCACAAAATGGCCCAAGCTGCCAAATCCTGATGTTGAGCAAATAGCACTCTGACATCTCCTCTCAGCTAGGAATGCACTAGATTTTTTACTTCACTGCGACAAACTCTTTCTGTTCAGTTTTCACCCAAGAAAGCATCATTTTACTCTCATATTAATATCCAGTCTCCTTACCTTGATCCACATGGTCTTAGGAGCATTAGCCCGGATGTTAGCGTGATGCCATGAGAGGTATTCATCTACCTGGGCCCGTTTTTTTATGTCTGATGGGTACCAGTGGTCAGGAGTGTTGTACTTCCGACTCAGATACAGCAGAATGGCAGTGCTGCTCAGACATCAACGAGACAAAAACAGGTCAGGGAATGCTACAGAATGCTTTTATCTCAGATCAGTTTTATCTGTCAGGTATTAATTTGGCCTTAATAACTAAGTCAGACAAATAAAAGTAGCTCTGTAGTCTTCCTCGTGTTTTATATGCTTTAAACAATTCCCAGATATGTTTATAACCCTAATTTGAGGTAAGTGCTTTCAGTGAAGATCAGTTAAGCCAGGAGATTTGTTTACATTGTGAAAGATAACGCAAACAGAAAATGGACATGAGGTTATAGTATTACAAATAACCAAGATATATAAGGTATATAAGGTTATAGTATTACAAATAACCAAGATATATAAGGTATATAAGGTATATAAGGTATGAAACTTTGTGGAGACCTTTTCAGTCTTTGTAGTGCTCTTTGGAGGGCAAGACACTGGAAATACAAAAATATCATCACAATAATATTTTCATTAAGTCAGGACATATATATGAGTTGGCAATATGTTAACCCCTTCAGACTGAGAAATAAGGCACATGGTGGAGGAAGCAAGCATTTGCGACATCAACTTAGGCAGAAAATGCTTGCTTCTCCATAAACAGACCTAATGGCCAGCTGAACATCCATAATTACAAAAGTTCCTGTCAAAGGAACATCTTTCTAATGACTTCAAGTTGTTTATCTCCAAGTCTGGCTCACGTCCACCTGAACTACTGCGTATCTTTAGCTCCTTATCATAAATGTGCATACTGCTATCTAACTTTTAAGAACAAAGGAACCAAAATGTCAAAGTAGATCACTAATTTTTCCTATTCATAAATGCTCATTGCTAGTTCTGAGTCATTTGGAGGGAATGACACCTCCTAAACACTATTTGTATTACTGGTCTCCAAGGAACTCCGAGGATTGAGTTCTTACCATTCTGCTAGGGTGAAGTCTCCGTCCTTCAGCGCTGGTACTTTCTTCAAGAGGCTGATTTTGCCAGCCCCTTCACTATTTGATGGCCCTAAGAACATGAATGGACAAGTCAGAGGTTAGAAGAGTGTCCGCCAATGAGTCATAAACACCTGTAACAAACTGGAAAATCTGTGAACTCTGCTGTTTCTTTTCCTAAGTCATATTTTGAAAATGAAATTGAAGAGTCAATGTAAAAGCCATCTACAGCCTGCAGTCTGCTCAGGCATGTCACACAGCAAGGAGCAGTTCATTTCTACACAGGAATTCAGTTGTTTGACTCTGGTAGCAACAATACTTGCAAAACTTTCTGAAAAATCATTCCCAATGAGGCATCTAGAAAACAGATGAAGATATTGGTTCTGAAAACACTAACTTGACTTGAAATCTTGTCCTATGGTTTCAGAAATGGGGGAAAAAAGACTTAAGATGAAGAGAAGCACTAAGTGCTGTTTGGAAAGGCTGAGTTTGTATGCAAAGCACCCCATTGAGAGTGAACGGATGCTCCTCTTTCCAACATACAGCACCAAAACAAAGTCATTTTCCTTTGGTTAACATGGCTGACACTAGTTGGGATAGAGTCATGATGGAAAGCAATTTAAAGCCTTTGTGCCCACGGAGATCCCTGCAGCAGCTAATTAATTAAAGACAACCCAGGTTGCTGATAAGACTCATGGAGCAGAATCCTTCCCTTGTTTGACTCCAAAAAGCAGAGGAAATCAATCATCCCCAAAGAAAGCAAATGCTGTCAGCAGAGCTGATCCCTCAGCAGACATGCAGCAGAGGGTAATTCCAGTTCTTGCTGGGAGGGGAAAAACATGAGTATCAGCAGTATAACACTGAACTTGCAAAGTAACTCATTCTGCCACCATGGCCATTCACCAGGGTCAGAGAAGCTCTGACACCTCTATTCTGTGTTAGTCCCAGCTATAAGCCAGCAAATAAACCTCCTCTTCAGGAAAACATAAGAGGAAGAAGCCATCCCATAAAAGAATTCGAAGTCCACAGTCACAGAAGTTTGAAGGCATTCATAGCTGACTATCTAATCAAGTTTTTATTTTCTCATTGAAGGCACTGAACTTGTGAGTCAGCAGTTAAATGCCAGGAGATTGCATAAAACACCAGGAACTGGTACAAAAAAAAAAAAGAAAAGATTGAAGGGCTTTGTTTACTTTGTTTGTCTTACATGCTTTCTATAAGGAGACATGCCAGGGTGCAGATCCTGTTCAAATCAAACCAGTATGACCAGCAGAAGTTTTCATAACAAAAATCCCTTTTGTCCAAAAAGAAAAAAGAAAAAAAAAAAAGTGCTGTTAACTAACAAGGTTCTGCATCCCCAAGAACCATTTGCTGCCATACAGAAGGAGGTGCTAGTGGCTGCTTTAATGGACAGTGTGAAACATCTCCAAGCAATAAAAAAGTCTTTGGACTACTAAGCTGATTTACAACTAGCTGCAAGAGAAGGGATGGGAGAAAGCAAGATTCTTGCACTGCAAATTACAGAACACAGAAAGCCTCTGACTACTTTCCCAGCATTGACTTCATGTGAGATAAACCAAAGTGCAAACATTACTGCCCTATTCTCACTGCTAGTTGACTAGCCCCTGCCTTGCTTTTTCTTAGGGAAAAGCTTTTAAGTTCCAATACAAGTAGCTTCACTGGAGAGCAAGGCTCACATCCATCTGCGGTCTGAAGGGATTTAAACCCACAGCAATGTTTCTAGCTGCCTGCAGTCACAATGCCCTCAAGTTTAGCTGGGTGAGAGGTTCTATGCACAGAGCAGAAGCAGGCAGCAGTGTACAAAATCTCAGAATAAAGGGTTTCTAAAGAATTGGAGCCTGACTGTGTGAGGTAACAAGCCCGTTAATTGAGAAATTTCAGCGTTCAAAAACACTCCTAGAAAATCAAGCCAGTTGGCAAAGCACAAGGAACCTTTTGTCTATGATTTATATCACAAAAAATCTTTATGGAAAATTGTGTACATCTCTTGTCATCCAAGGAGTTGCTCAGGAAAGAGCCTGTGCATTCAGAGGGGCTCCCATAGCTAGTGGTCACCAAACACAGCTTGGGCAAGGTGCGTACAGCTCAAGTGGTCCTTAGAAAAAACACAGCATAAAATTGCAAGTCAGTAGCTTTGACAAATAATGAGCAGTCAGTTCTTGGACCTAGCTGGTTGGCTGTTACAATCTACTGTTTGTTTATTATCCAGGGTAGCAAGCAATTGAGAAACAGTGATATGAGAAGTAAGCAGTGGGTCAGGGCAGCCTGAATCAGATTTCAGCCTGTTTTCATACTGTATCAGTCCTAACTAACACAGCACTACAGCAGGTTTGACAGGAGGCCCACATTTGTTACAGAGACTGCACTTGCAGCACAGAGAGAGCATCTGACTTGCTTTGGTTCATACAGACAAAAAAGACCTGAGCAGAAACTTGGCCACTGAGCTGCAAAGTGATAAAAGCTTTGGTATGAACACTAATTCCAGGTTGCTCCAGTGGGACTGGTTGTTTATTGCAATAACAAAGAGATCAGTGTTGGTATTTGTAGTTTAGCAGAGTTTAATACTGTGCTCATTTCTTGTTGTGGCCCATCTTTATTGATCCTGTGGCATTCCCCTGACTTACAGCTGTTTAACATCAGTTGCATCTGGTGTAATTAGTAATAGCAATTAGTATACTCACAAGGGTATATATGTGTACATATAAATATGTATATATTTATGTGTGTGTATATGCACACTGTGTGTATTGTTGAGCTTTGAGGAATAACTTAAATTAGAATATACACCGTCAAGAGGAAAGACAGTCTGCACACAGGAAAAATACCTGTGTAGGGAAGATCTACTGGTGGTGACAAGTAGACAAAATTCTACTTAAGAAATGGGAAAAAAAAATTCGATTGCCAATCTCATCCCTGCCTAATAATCTGTTTAGCCAAGGATTTCCAAGTACTGTGTTGCCTTAGGCAACAAAAATAACAAATGATTTACCTGGAAAATACAATAAGCAAACGTTCAATAGTCTTCTTATACAGCTGGACAAGTCTGAACAGCTGAATGTTTCTAAGTACACCAATCCCAGAGCAGTCACTGTCACTGTGACTAATTTGCTAGAAATGGCTGGAGAAACATTCCTTGGGGATCCACAAAAATAGCCACAGCACGGCTATGCGACAGCTCTGGGAGATCCATGACCAACCATTGTGCTCAGGAGGGCCTGCAGGGTGAGTGTTTAAAGCCACACAGCACCTGATGAGCTCGTCCTTCCCTCTCTGCAGGCTGGCAGCAGGTTTAGCTGTGGTGTGTGGCCTTGCCACCTGTTTTATGTTTTGTAGGAAGGATGGGACGCTGTCCTGTGAGGGTACAACCCCAAAAAAGTCTCCTCTGAGCTCTGCACGCCCCTGTGAGTAGGTGATCTCCCACCTCCACTGACTCCTGCATTTTGCCAGCTTCCAGGTGGCTGCATCAAAAGATGCATGGTCAGTAGGTCAAGGGAGGTGATCCTGTCCCTCTGCTCCGCACTGTGAGACCTCACCTGGAGTTCTGCATCCAGATGTGGGGTCCTCAGCACAGGAGAGACGTGGACCTGTTGTGGTGTGTCCAAAGGACACCATAGATGATAGATGGAACACCTCCCTGTGAGGACAGGTTGAGAGAACCAGGACTGTGCAGCCTGGAGAGAAAAAGGCCCTGGGGAGAGAGGAAAGCAGCCTTCCAGTATCTAAAGGGGCTGGAAGAAATAAGGGACAGACCCTTCAGCAAGGACTGTGGACAAGGAGAAATTGCTTCAAACTAAAAGAGGGGAGATTTAGATTGGATGTAAGGAAGAAGTTGTTTACAATGGGGTGGTGAGGCACTGCACAGGGTGCCCAGAGAGGTGGTGCTGCCCCATCCCTGCACACAGCCACGCTCAGGGGACGGGGCTGTGAGCACTGCTGGAGCTGCGGGTGTCCCTGTGCACTGCAGGCAGTGGGAACAGACGGCCTTTGGGGGTCCTTTCCGACCCCAACCATTCTGCGATTTCACGTGCTTGCTCCCGCTGATGTCGAGCGTCCCTAAGCACTGATGCTGCCTCACTCCTCCTCCATCCCACAGCGGCCACAGGAACACACCTGCAGCCACGCACAGCCCGACGGACATCCAACACTCCGCTCCGAGCAGCCGCAGGGCTGCCAGCACCCGGTCCCGACGCCACAGCTGCAATAACGGCGCCGGGAGCTCACCTGTGCGGGGCCGCTCCGCACCGCTCGCCGCCGCCGCCGGCTTCTTCCCCAGCACCGAGTCTGCCAAGAGCCGAGAGAGGAGCGCTGAGCGCGGGGCTCCGACCCCCGGCCCCGCCGCCCGCCCTGCCAGCCCTCCTCACCTTTGAAGAGCTCCACGTGCTTGAACTCGAACGGGATGTTGTTGGTCCGGGCGAAGATGTAGATGGAGCGGCAGGGCTGCGAGAGCAGATCCAGGTACAGCTCCAGCCCCATGCTGCCGCCGCCGCCGCTCGGATCCGCGGGACGCTGTGCGGACGGAGCCGCCGCGGGGGCCGAGCCGTGCCGGCCGTGCCCTCCTACGGGCGGGGACGCGGCGGGCGGCCCCGAGGCGCCCAGCCCTGCAGGGCCCCCTGCGGAGCCGTCCCAGCGGCAGGAGGTGGTGCTCCCGTCCCGCGACGCGACGGGCTGCGCCGAGGCCGGGAAAGGAAATGCAGCTGGCACCGCGCGTGGGGCCGCTTTAGGAAAGGAGCCTTGCGGGGCGGTGACGGCGACTGAGATCCAAAGACGGCCGGCTGTCACACGGTGCCCTTCCACACCGGGTTCTGGCCCCGCAGCCGGCCGCTCGGTCAGCACGGGCACCGCGCACCAGCGACCCTCCTTTCCCCTTATTTCTTCTATAGGATTAATGCTGAACTCGAGCCCTGCGTAGCCCCGCAGCGTTTCACAGCTCTGTGACTCGAGGACAGCGCTGGGGAGTACAGACACGTGTGTGACACCGACAGCGGTTGAACCGATCATAGCAAAGTCACCCTCGGTCAGACCCAGCTCTGACACCTCCTTATCTGCACTGCTCACGTGGCACGCACAGCCCTTCAGTCACACACAGACCTCAAGGAAAGGAAGCTGTGGGACAGCTTCACTCATGCAGAAAGTTGGGAAAAGGTTTAGGTACCAAGCAGTGAGCTCTTCTTGGGTAAATCCCAAACTGGAATACTCTCAGGTATTTCTTTTGTACCATTTTCCAGAACTGCTGCTCTGACAGTTCCTTATCAATGGAGATTGCTGTTAGAACTACCACCTGTAAGTGACCTTTGACTAAGCTGTGTCCTGACACTGAGTCTGCAGTACCATGCACCGGTCTTTCAGAGGAATTCTTCAGATTTAGAACCACGCTATAAGATTTTTCTGCTGTTTTTCTTATCCCGACTAGCTTTGAAAAGACCTCTCTGCACTCTTTAGTCCCCATTCAGGATACGTTACTCTATAAAGCCTCTGCATGCAGCAGAAGCACAAAATGAAGGTTTGTAGAGTACTGTGGCAGGTGCTGGACTTCTGTCAAACTCCTTCAGAGCAAGAAAATATTAAATGCTACCAGAGTGGGAAAAGGGAACATGAATGTGCCTCTGCCCAGGTAAAAGAGTTTTGTGTTTAAAATGCTTGCAGAATGCTCCTCTAAACAAGAGCTGAGGAGCTCTCAGATCCCAGTGGTAGCAGCAGGATGAGCAGTGTAGGATCACTTTGCTCTTTTTTTAATTCATACTCCTGACTGGGCTTCCAAGGGCTTTTCCCATGCCTTCTGAAAATGTTCTGTTTGTAAATCCTTCTATTGTTGCTGACTGCACCGCATCACCCACACAGTCAGAGATATTTTTAATCTGGTCGTGTTACATGGCATTTTATTGCATTATTCTTCTCTAGGTCTCTAGCACAATATTTTGATTTAGCTCCATCACCCCAAAGAAAGCTTTTTTCTCCCTGTACTTGCAGGCACTGTCAATAAAAAATGCAGTAGATGTCTTGGGATGTGTATCTGTTTTCTGTAGATTGCTCTGATTTTGTGTATCCCAGCACGATTTGACTCTAGAAATCACAGGCTCTCACTTATTTCCAAACAGCTCCTGGCAAGAATTGAGGAAAGTGAGTCAGAATGGCATGTTAAGCTGTCACAAGACGTGCAACCCCTCTCCATATTCAGCTCAAAGGGGAGCGGACAGTGAACATTGCACTGCAGCAGGCAGAACTCTTGCACAACCTGTTGGGTTTGGCAGATAGAGAGGGCTGCTCTTGGGGTTTTCAGCCTTGGATCTGGAACCAGCTAAGATCAAATGACACAAATTAACCAGATGGGGGAAGCGGAGGGACAGCAGAAGGCAAAGTACAAGGACGAGATGCTTTATCTCCATGATAAAAACCAACAGCAAGGCAAGTCTGTAGTAAAAGAGAATAAAAAACTTTTTAACAAATGTGTTAACAGTAAAAGGAGGGCTAAGGAGAATGGCCATCCTTTACTGGGTGTGGCAGGGAACATGACCACTGAGGATAAGGAAAAGGTTGAGGTTCTCGATGCCTCTTTTACATCTGTCTTTACAAGTCAGACTGATTATTTTCAGGGTTCTCTACTCCCTGACCTCAAAGCCTGGGATGGGGAACAGAGTAAAACCCCATGAGTAAGATGGAAGCAGAGACCTACTACTCCATCTGGACTGTCACAAGTCCATGGGACCAGATGGGCTCAACCTGAGGGTGCTGAGAGAGCTGGCAGAGGCGATTGCCAAGCTGCTTTCTGCCATCCATCAGCATTCCTGATCAACTGAAGAGGTCCCAGGGGACTGGAGGCTTGCCACTGGGACTCCCATCTACAAGAAGAGCCATAAGGAGCATACAGGGAGCTACAGCCTGTCAGCCTCTGTGCCAAGGAAGGCTATGGAACAGATCATCTTGTGTGAGATCACACAGCATGTGAAAGACAACTAGGGGATCAGGCCCTGACAGCCCGTGTTCATGAAAGGCAGGTCCTGCTTGTGACTGAGTGACCTGCCTGGTGGATGAGGGAAAGGCTGTTGATGTAGTCTACCTAGACTTCAGCAAAGCCTTTGACACTGTCTCCCACGGTTTTCTCCTGCAGAAGCTGGCAGGGCTTGGACAGATACACTCTTTGCTGGGTAAAGAGATGGCTGGAGGAATGGGCCCAGAGAGTGGTGGTGAATGGAGTTAAATCCAGCTGATGAGCAGTCACAAGTGGTGTTCCCTGGGGTCGGTACTGGGGCACGTCCTGTTTAGTATCCTTAATGATGACCTGGATGAGAGGATGAGTGAACCCACAGTAAGTTTGCAGATGATGCCAAACTGGGAGTCAATCTGCGTGGGGGTAGAATGGCCCTACAGAAGGATCTGGACAGGTGGATTGCTGGGCTGAGGCCAATGGGATGAGCTTCAACAAGACCAAGTGCCAGTCCTGCATTCGCTTTGGCTCACACAGTGGTTTCATGTGCACAAAGCCCAGTCTTGAGGTTCTGCAGGGAAATAGGTATCAAGAAAGCTCTGCTAACAAGCTCCATTTGAGGGCTGTCTGATTTGGCTCTTGTTGTCCCTGGTCTGTTTCTACTTGAACAGAAGCTGAGGAATTTATTATGCTGGCAATAGAAAGTTTGCTCTCTACAACAAAGGGAGAAGTTGGAGGAGTCTGAAGTTACACAAACAGTGCTAGAAGAGGTAGCAAGGAGGGACCTATTTTATTCAGAGTGAAGCCCAGCCAGCTGGATGTGGTAAGCTGCAGGTTGTAGAAGAAAGGAAGTGGTTGGCAGCCTGGCATAAACAGCCTCTTTAGGCTCAGAACTACAGGCAAGCTGCTACAGCAGAGCAGCACCTACACTTACAGGTCAGCTGGCAACAATGCAAATACTTTCAGGGCAAGTTACTGAGTTTGCTGGGCAGAATGCAAGAAGACAATAAAAATTAGAGAAAAGTTATTTTCTGCTTGTGTCAGCTCAGAAAATAAAAGCATTTTTGGGGCAAGCCTGCTTTTTTCACTACTGACATTTAGGATATCCTGCAGGCTGGAAGAGCGGAAAGAGGATTGGTGTGGCTTAGCTCATACCTGAGGGACACGCACTGCGAGCTCTGCTTCACGGTGCCCTTTTGATCTAGAGGGCAGGTTTACTCAGGAAACTCAAATACAGAACAGACAGATGGCTTATTCCCCAAAAGTACAGGTGCAGCTGAAAGGATACGTGAGGCTGTTCGAGCAGCTGTTTTCATCTTTTCTGAGCACTGCTGTCACTTGACCAGCATTAACGCGGTCGATGCCTCACAGCCACTGCACCACGCAGCATCACTGTGAGCACCTGGCAGAGCACAGCACTGACTTCCAGCTGAAACCAGTGCTAAACAAGGAGGAAAAAACAGGCAAACTGGGACTATTCGTAGTTCTTAGCTGGAAAATGGAAGGGCAGAAACAGGAAGAGGGCAGGAAGGCGTGCAAGGGGAGGCAGTGAAGAGGTTATGAAAGGGAACCAATCCAGTCTGTGTAAGGAATCCAGGGCTGCCCCTTTCCCAGTTCTGTTTACAAATCCAAACAGAGCTAGGACACACTGCAAGTGTAACAATTAACTTTACTGGAGAATATGTGTGACAGAAGAGTAGTGGAACAAGAACATTATTTCAGCATTAGTTAGCTTGCTTGCTAAGCACTGCACTTGCTCTGGGGCTGGCCACCAAGCCCCCCCTGCCCCCAGTACAGGCCCAGCCACAGCAGCATTCAGCAGCACGGAACCTGGTTTAAATGCCTTCCACAGAGCTGCCTGTGGGGAAGGGATGGAGCACCGATGTGGCTTGAGGAAGGATGAAGGCTACCACGTGGTTGGCAGTGGTTTCACCTAGAAAACCAGCTTTTCTCAACTGTGCATAAGCTATGTAGATGATGGCATAAGGCTGTTGCTGAGGATCTTCGTTCATGGGATTCACCCCATCCTCATCTGAAAACTTGCTCCGAGGGTCCCCTTGCTCTGATCTGTAACACAGCAGCCTCTAGTGGCCAGGTGCTCCCTTACCCTCTGGGCAGGGGCAGCAGCCAAGGGCTGGCTGGCTGCAGTCTAAGATGTAGTTTTCTTCCCTTCTAAGTTGCAGAAAGACTGTAATTGAAGTGTATTTTCTGGAATGTCGTTTTTTGTACTACTATTGGAGGAAATACTGGAATATTACTAAAAGCTTACGCAAAATAATTTCTTTTAATCGGAGTGCGACGCCCTTGGTTCTAGTTGACTTGCTTTAAGAGCTGTTGCTTGAAGTGCTCCCGCAGCTCAGGTGCAATTTTATCAGCAGTCACGTTCTTGGCATTCAGGATCTCTTCATGAGCTTCCTGGAAGAGCTGCTTCCCCACGGCTTCTTCCACCCTCCTGCGCCACTCTGCTAACTGGGGCCTCTCCTCAAAGAGGTCGTAGCCAGAAGCAACAGGCTGCAGAGAGAGCAACAGAACCCAGGCATCAGGCTTCCCTGCCAGCAGCCAGCCAAGGCGTTTGCCAGGGCTGGGAGCAGAACGAAGCACAGAGGCAACAAAGACATGGAGTTCATTAGGCGGAGTTCATCTCTGCTGCTTAACCTGCAGGAAGCAGTGCTGTCCCCTGGGAGCTGCAGTGGATGTATAACTGTGGCAGACCCTCAAACTGTGTCACATGGAGCACACAGGTCCACACACACCAACGTGTCTCTCCCAGATCCCTGTGATTTCTGTAGCTCGTTTTATGACACTGAATCTTGGTAGTGGGAGACAATCAAATAGATTTATTCTCCCCTAAAACGGAAGGTGGCTTTATTCCTAGACAGCACAGCCAGTGCTACAGTACTTCTGCCTAGGAAGGAGGGTGAGGAGTCCCTGCTCTGCTGCTCAAAAGACAAAGCAGTGGTCAATGAGCACCTTACGTTCAGCTCCCTCAAGACAAATGCGGTTCAGCTTCTCTCCTGAATTTGTGTTCTAAGAGAGCTGTTCTTTCAATCTCTCCTTCATCCTCCTCTGTCTACTTTGTAATTCAACTTCTTTTTTTTTTCCTGGAAGAAATACCAGAAAACAAAAATTTTGTCCAAACTTCTATACAGAGAAATTGCCTGGCAAACTCAATTCTGCTTGTGGTCAAAAAGGAACAAGTTTTAATCCCACCGAGGACTAAACTGCAGACAGAAGAACCTGTCCTACAGAGATGGTGCTGCTGCCCACAGCCCAGCTTGTATATCTGACAGCACCGTGATCGATGCTCACCTGCATGAGCTCCACCAGGGCTACGAGGTCTGCCAAGGAGATGTCATTGCCCACAATGAAGGGCTTGCCCTGCAAGAACTTCTCCTCAAACTGATTCAGGACAACATTCAGCTCCTCAGTAGCACTTTCCACTTTCTCCGGAGGCAGTGGCTGGCCTGCAAGGAGAGGTATCAGCACCTGGCAGGGAAAAAATAGACACTGCTTTTTTCCACGTTTCCCTCTAAATGAAGTCCAGGCCTCAAACTGCCTTCTTCTAAGGATCCCCCAGTGTCCGTGCCCAAGAACAGCTGTTTGTTGAACAGAACAAGCTGTTGAACAGATTAATGTCAGCAACCATCCTTGCTTCCCGTCTGTCTGCATCTCCTCCCTAGAAAGTCTGAAATTTCAACCACGCGAGTCTTCTCTCAAGGGAGGGCTGCATCATCTTTAAACAGCTGCATTTTGTTTTCCAGTGGGATGTTCTTTCTTTCCACGAAGCTGGGCGGAAGGCAGCGAGCTGTGCCTGCTGCTTGCTGTCCATGCAGGGTACATTCATCATGCATGCTGCTGGGTCTGCATTGACTAAGAATGAGCCCCACAGACTTCAGAGCTATGGCTGCAGCAGGAAGGATTCAGGCCACTTCACTTGGGTGAATACCTGTCTCTACTAAGCAGCCACATCAATCCCAGGTCTAGGTTTGTTCCTGTCACCTGGTTTGTGTGCTCACTTAGAAAGGCTCAGCACACAGAGGGATGCCGTAGCACCCTCAGCTCTCAGTTTTTAGGGTATGATGGCCTTACCTTACTTAGGAACAGCTTGCTCCCCTTCCCACGAATGTGGGCTTGCTGCCATGACAGGTACTCATCAACTCTGGCCTGTTTCTGCAGGTCAGAGGGATACCAGTGATCGGGAGTCTTGAATTTCCGGGCCAGGTACATGAGGATGGCAACGCTGGCAGAGAGCAGGACAGAGCAGTGAGTGGTAAGCTGAGACAAAAGCACCTCATCCTTTCTCCTTCTCCCAAACACTGCACTGCTGTGTGAGCAGCAACACAAATGCAATTTAAGTCGGGTATAATAGAGAACGTGTAATCATTGGGTGGGCACAGCACATGGCAGAGTTTGCGCTGGCTTGCTGGTTGCTCATGGACAGCAGTCATCCATTGCATCACCAGCAGGCCACATCTGCCTGGCCGTGCTACAGTTACCCTGCAGACATTTGAGAGCACACATAAACCACAGAATGAGCTCATTCCAACTCAGAGCTTTGCGTTGCCAGGCCATCCCACAGCAGGTGCCTTGTGACAGATCTACGCATTGAACTACAGCCCCCAGCTGAAGGCAGAGAGCAGAGGACATAGGGCAGGTGTCTTAGCTCAGAAACATTGCCTGCATGCAAGCTAGCTCCAAGCAGCAGCTCAGAGTTTTCATAGCCAATGCTGTCTGAGAACAGGCAGAACCCAAGCATTAGGACAAACAGTACTTCAGCAGAGGACTGAGCTTATTTGTGCCTTACCTCTCTGCTAAGGTGAAGGAACCATCCCTCAGTGCAGGCACTTTCATCAGCACGTTCACCTTCCTGAACTCCTCGGTCCTGTGCTGCCCTGAGGGAAATGAGAGATTTTTTCTCATCAGTGGTGCTCAGCACCCACCTGGGATCAGCTGAGGAGTCCATGGGCGACACGTGGACCATTTCTGGCTTTGACTGTACAAATACAGCCCTGTACCACAGGGGTAGATTCTGGCTTTGCCTTATGACGTCAGCTTACTCATTGCCTGCATGCCAGAACAACCTCTTGACAAAGGTCAAAATGGTTCAGAGTCCTTTCATACCAGCAATGTTTGTCAACTCAGGGCGGTATCAGCACAAAGTTTGTGCTTGGAGGTACCTGTCAGGGCACCAACACCAAGCAGCTTTGGGGGGAAGGGATCTCAGTACCACAAACACAGTGGGTTAACCACGGGGACAGTGAGAAAGAAAGGAATTTTGCCTTTCTTTTTCTTTTCTTTTTCCTGGAAAATAAGAAAATTCATATTAAACTCTCCTTATAGTCCTCTGTTTAGAGGAAACAAATTCCCATGGTTCCATATAAAGCCATGAGAACTTTATTACAAACATATGAATGAGCTCTTTGGGTGAGTTTTCCTTATCATAGACCAGAGCAAACACAGAGGTGAGTTTGCTTTTAAGCCGTCTTCCAGGTCTCCTCTGTAAAGCAGGCAGAGAGTAAAGCCAACCAGAGGTGTTTTGTTCCTTTGGAGTCCCACTGTGCTTTGTTACCTCTGGACCGAAGCCCAGACACCTTCATTCATGCCAGCCTCTCCCCAGCTCCTGGTTTCAGAGTCACTCATTTGCATCTCCACGGTCACATCTCTCCAATGCCTTTCCCCCTGTCATGCCCTCCTGTGAGTCACCTGGGAATCTTTGTGCCCCAGGAGATGCTCTGGAAAAGGCTTGTTTTCCCAGAACTTGGCAAACCCAATTTGTGAGTAATTCTCTTTCAGTTTTTCCATTCCTCTTCATGCTCTCACTGCTTGCCTGCCAGCCTCTTCTCGTTTGGATCAACGTCTCACCACAACCACTCATTGGCAAGAAGGGAAAGGACGCTGTATGGGCTTTTCCCCCAGCTGCAATCAGCCCCTACTGAGACAGGTCATTAAGAGGAAAGCAGCATCAAGTGCATTCGGTGAGCAGCCAAGGCATGAAGGGAAACACCCAGAGAAGAAACCACAACACCCAGAGGTTTTTCTAATAACAATCTCTTGTTTCTCTATCAGTTTGAGCCTCGGAAGCCTTCTCATCTTGCATTGTTTTTAAGCCCAACACATTCACTGAATTTCACAACAGAGCACTAGAAAGGCAGAAAGGCAGTTTTTACCAGCTAAGAAAAGCGATACAGATCTCCAGATGTCCTCTGCTGAAAACATACAATACTTCTCTGGCAGGTTCCTACCCACCGTCAGTCGGTTTTAGAACAAACAAAAGCCCTCCTCCCTTCTGCAGCCCTCAACCTTCCGATTCTGGCTGCTGCACTTCACCCTCTGCATCTCCCAGTGCTGTCAGCACGACTTCACCCCACCGTGCCCCACTGCAACTCCCAGGGGAGAACCACACCGTGCTGCCAGGCGCAGCGCAGCACAGAGCTCCCGGAGGTTACTTAGAAGGGGCGAACCCCACGCTGCTGGATGCACTCCCCATCTCCTTTTCGGGGCCGGCACACCCCGAGGAGCGTTACTTCTCAGACCGACGCCTCTTTTCCTGCCCCCCATTTTCTGATAGACTGTTTTCACAGAGCTCAGCTCTGCAGAACCGCAGCACGAGGTGGGGACGCGGCCAGCAGCACCGCCCCGTAACAACCGGAGTTTCCTTACGGGACAGGAACCCCCCGCCCGCTGCCGTCGGGGGGCAGCGGCCCCTTCCCATCCCCGCTCACCCTTCATCAGCTCCACCCGTTTGAACTCGAACGGGATGTTGTTGCACCGGGCGAAGAGGTAAACCGCCCGGCAAGGCTGCGAGAGCAGATCGAGGTACAGCTCCAGCCCCATCCTGCCGCTGCCTCGCTCCGGTGCCGTCCGTTCTGTCCCGCAGACGCCGGGACGGGGCGGGGCAGCACGGCGGAGGCGGACCCGGAGCTCCCGCCCCGTTCCCGACCGGCTCCGCTCCGCTCCGCACCGCCCGAACCGAACCGGAGGTGATGTGCAGCCGCCACCCAGAACCCAAAGGGCGAAGTTCTGCCGCGTGTCATCAGGATCTGGTTCGGCTTAATCGCTTACTCACTTAATGATAAGAAACGAAGGCAGCTGATGAATGGGATGCTGTGCCCGGGCAAGTTCGCTCATGGGAACGCGCAGCTCTGGTGTAGGGAGGTTGTACACAGCTACACCGTAACTAAGCAAAACCAACTCGACAGACAGGTACAGCACCCATGCAGCAGGAGGACAGATGCAGGCTCTGCTGCTGTGACAGTCACATGTTGCTCCTGCTGTGCTTACAGCATGTGAGCACCTTTCCTGACTTTCATCCCTCCGAGCTTCCAACACCCTCCCTTTTATTTTTCCTCCAGCAGTGTATTGCCAATGATGGTGTACATTTATATTGTTTTACAAAACAACAAAAGCCAGAGCTGGATCTCTTCCTGCAGGTCTCCAAGAGCAGGTGGAGGCTACAGCCACAGGGCAGTTGTAAGCCTGTCAGGGACAGCTGAAAATACCAGTGGTAAACATAATTAAGGCTTTTAAATTCACAGTAGACAGATATTTTAGTCTGCATTAACATAACACTTAGCATAGCTGCTGCTACCCCTTCTACTGAAAGGAAGGAAACAATGCAGGCAAAGAAATAACAAAAAGACACAGCAATACAACCAAAAATCCACTGTCATCACCTTTGTATTTCAGAAACTTTAAAACAGCATATATAAAAAGTCTTTTTAAAATATTCTATGTCTATTTATTTAAAAGCTGCAGTTCATTCAACCTAGAACGGTTCTTTGAACAGCATCTTGTTCCAGGCACTGCACTGCATGCATTCTTATGCTTCCATGAGGATGCAGATCCTTGCACAACATGGCAGAACGGAGCTGTCCCATTTCAGAGGCACAAAAAAGGCACAACCCACACATCTGATGACCAGCAGCTCCATCAGGCCCGTGACCAAGAACTGGACATGGCTCTTCTGTTCATTGGAGGTAATTTTACATATGCCAGTTGGGTAATGATGCAAAATCCTCTTCAAAAGCAATTGCATCTGCTTCTCGAAAGCCAGTAAATTAACCCTGTTTCCTATGTCCTTGAAATGAGAATGTAATAGCTGATTTTAGACCAATAAGCTTGAGGGGATGAGCACCGAGCTCAGGAACCACATCTCCTTGTTACTGTGCCAGATATCTTCAGTGCCATGAAACACAGCCACCTCTGCCTGCCTTCATTCAGACTCGTTTCTGTGCTCGCTCGACCTGTTCAAAATTAAAGTTGAGAAGGTGACTGGAAATGCTTCTGCCCAGGGTCATACAGAAGGAACTTTGGGAAGCAACATAACAGTATCATGACCTGTTCTGCCCTGCCCCTAATATTCCTAATCTGCAACTCAAAATCGTAATTCTTCAAGAACAAATGTTTGTCAAGTCCTCAAAGAAGAGAGCAGAACACTTGCTCAAATCATACAGCACAAAACTATCTGTTACAGTTCCCTTGTCCACCAATGTGGCAAGTTAAATGCTATCCTGCTTCTGTCCAAAAGCTCTCAACTCTCCTACTGGTGTGTAAAGGTCTGCAGAAAATGCTTTCCTTCACACCAAAACAGGTATGTCTCAGTCCAAGAGAAGGATTCTGGACACCAATACTTGTGCTTGTCATGTCTTGCAGTGAACTGTGTAAACTGTAGTTTTGAATTTTTAATTTCCTTCCCCATTTTCTGCTGTTCTTCCCTCTTGCACTTACCTTGACTGTCCTCTCTAGTTTAGACAGAGCCTCCTCATATTGCTGCACCAATGGCTTTAACGACTTGCCCTTGACCAAGTGCTGCTTTATGTCTGGAATGCCAGCATCCTTCAACATCCGCAGAAACCTGCGTTCCTGCACAACAAAGCAGACACAGCAGAAAAAGAAGTGAGTACCTCCCCTTCACAAGGGGCAGCCTGCTGTTTCTCAGCTGGAAAATGAGCATATTTTGGGATTTTCTGCCTAGTCATGGAGTGACTGAATAAAGATTTTCCAAGTACAAAACAGCTGACTGGAGAAGGTAAAAAGTAATATAAACTTTCTGTTCCTTACAGTCCTCCACCTTTCCATTTCAAATGAATCTTATATCGATGACATACCTGGATTCTGAGGACCATGCTGAAAGCTAAGCCTGCCTTTCCTGCTCGAGCTGTTCTTCCAACACTGAAATCAGAACAAGGAACATCAAGTCAGTTCAGTCATGCAGTAGTCACTGCCACTATCTGCTTCAGGAGCCTGACTCTGAAACTCTCCAGATTTAGGAGGAAGTCTGGATTTTTATGTTTAACAGGGCTAGCCATGCGTTACAAAGACTGAATGTTTCCAGAGTCCATTTACAGCTGCTGAGCCTCTGCAGTGTTCTGAGCCCCTGAAAACCCAACCCTGATGTTCTCCAGGACAATGTTTCTAGCTCCTGTAAAATACATTTTATATAATAGGGTGCTAGATTTCTGTTTTACTACTACATTGCTCTCATGATGCCATGAATTAGCTTCTGATGTAAGAAGTTAGTTCTACATTGAAGACAAAAGGTATTTCAGCTCTGGATTTTTTTAAGTGCATGTTGCTTATACTAAGTATTTCAGTGAACACCAAGCTCAAACATCTTCCTTTTGCTCCTGCTTTGTCTTACCGGTGAATGTAAGTCCTGATGAACTGAGGCGTGTCATAGTTTATTACACAATTCACTCCTTTAATGTCAATCCCTCGAGCAGTGGCATCTGTACTGATTAACCTGGTTTTGAATGTACATACAGTTGTTTTCAGGTAACATCTCTGCCATTACACAAACACATACAAACCAGCTGAGCACAGCACAACTACTGCTAATCTGTTAAAACTGGGCAGTCAACTTCTGAGCTCTAAGCAGCACTGTAAGTCACATAGTGTAACTGGCATTAGCTGCCAGTTCTAAGTGCCCCTACAGTTAATATGAAAAGCTATAAAGCATTTCCAGGTTCTCCAAGCATGCAACACTAAGCCAGACAGCTGCCAGCATACCACAAGTTACAAACCTGTAAACCATCTGAGCATTCCTTAAAGGTACTGAATGCAGACAGTGATGTGTTTGCCAGTAATCAAACAGGGTTTGGACAAAAAGAAAATCCAGAAAGTAAACATTTACTTTCTTTTGGGGGACATTTCACAGATACAATCCCAATACAGTTATGAACATCACAAAGTGAATCAAAATTATGGATAGAAGTAAACCTGTCTGCCAATCTGATTGGGCCAGGTCCCAAGCCCATTTTTCAACTGATTCCTGTTTGCTGTTTTACAGGGGAGCCCTGTCTAAATATCTAACTAGTTTTACACACTAGAAATAGTATATGTCCTAAGACTTACAGGAAACTCATTTAAGATACTCACAGTTGTATCTTTCCTTGTTCAAATTCCTTCATGGTTCTCTGTCTCTCATTTGGAGGTAACCGAGAAGAAAACTCAGCCACAGTGATTCCACCAAAAGCTTGAACAAGCAGGAACAATCTGCAGGTGGATGGGATAGAAACCATCACTTAACTCTGTAACACACTGTGGCAGCTATCTGCCAAATGACCTCATGAATATATTTACCTGTGAGAAGCCTCTCTGGAGTTGGTAAAGCACAACACTCGAGTAAACTTCTTTGTCAGCATGAAGTGCAAGAGGAGCAATGGCTTGGAATTCAGGTCACAAGGCACATAACTTTGCTGCAGTCATCAGGGAAGAAGACAGACAAATTACTTCTTGCCAGGGCTATCTTCCCTGAAACTTACTACCTGTCCATAACCTACATAGGCTTGGATGTTTTGCAACTAACAGCTACAAAATCAGATCCCACAGTGCCACCCCCTATTTAGAACATGTCACAGCAACACAGCACAAGGCAGAGGCAGGAGACCTATGTTATTCTAGTGCTCTCACTTCTCTGTGGCAAGTAACAACACGCACTGCCTTCTTGTCTACAGATTGATTTGCATTCACATGCCTTAAAATGCATGTTATACATACATATGTAAACTATAATTTGAGATGGACAGTTGAGAAGTGCTACATTACTGCTTATCTCCACTCCCTTTTGCAAGCAAACTTAATTCAGTATGAAGGGTTTAATTTTAAAGAATTCCAGTCCAAATCAAACAAACAGTAATGAGAAAACAGATGAGTGAAGGCAGAGCTCTTGGAGTCACAAAAACTCCCAAAGCCACTTTCTTTCAGCACTTCTGTAACACAAGGCATTAGGTGTATTTGTTCACAGGCTACAAACATCACTAAATATCCCAGAGTTAAACTAATCTCAAAAGTCTAATTGATTCAAACACCTTATTTTTCCAACAGCTACCAAATAGGTACTTTTATGGTTGCAAGAGAATTAATCTCATACCGACAGCCCCTCAGGGAGTGTGTACTTCTCTTCAGAATCCTGTTCAGTCTCTGTTCCACCTTGGAGTGTTTTTTTCTCAGAGTAGACAGACGTGAAGAGGCGAGGCTGAAACAAGCCCAACTGCTGCAGCTTCTCTGGGTCCTGAGTCAGCGTAGCTGAAAACAGCAGTTTCTGTAAGGGTATCTGAGGGTAACAGCAGCTGAAATAAACAGCATATGGAAACTGAACTCTGAGGATAAGGAAAAGGAATTCCCCCACACGTGCTTTCAGATGATGTTATGAGGGAAGTAATTAACTCTTTTTGACACCCGCACTGGGCCCTTCTGGTCAGATCTTTCCCACTCTTGTTTAACAGTGGAGCTCAGAGATGAAATTGGATCAGCATTCTCAACTCAACTGCTCAACCCTCATTTGTTACCTTGGCACACATCCCTGCACCCCAGTCACCCCTGCCCCAATCCTAGTCACTTCCTTCCTTCACTGCTGATCTCAGTTTCTGATGCATTTCTACCACGCTATTCGAAAAGAGCAGCTGCAGATGCACAGTTCAGCACTTTCCTTCAAATTACTCAAGTTTGTCAGAGGGCAATGCTATT